CAACTAATAATTTAATGGGGGCAGAGACGGCAGCGAGGGGGAGAGCGAGAGCGAGCGAGGGGGGGCAGAGAGAGAGAGGAGAGGGAGAAACAGCCCCGTCCGGGGACTGGCGCTCACACGCACACAGACGCGCACACACCTCTCCCTGTGCCACCCAGCAACCACCGGCCTCGCCACAACAACAGCAGCCACGGCCGCCCTCTAGCCCGCCCGGGGACCGAGCCGAGAGCCGGGGCGACTCCCGAGGACGCTTCCCACCCCGCTCTCGCATTTTGGGAAACTCCTCCTCAGTTTTGTTGGGGTTCCTGCGTTTCTTCCCCCCGCCCCCCCCCCCAAGTCCCAGTGCCATTGTGGTGCTCCTTGTTTACCTCGGACTCTGGCCGAGTGAGAGCGTGGCGACTTTTTTGGGGGGGAGGAGGGGGCGGGGAGTGTGTCGCTGCTGAGGCGGTGGAGGTGGCTGGGGGTGCCTTCTAATTCCTTCCCCTCTCTCCTGCCCCCCCCCCCAAACCCTCTCTCTCTCTCTCTCCCCTGCACTCACTCGGCTCCCCAGACGCTCGCAGCCCCGCGTCCATGGGCAGGGAGAGGGTCCTCGGGGCTGTCGTCAGCGAGGGCCGAATCAAAAGTGGCGTTTTAGTGCCTTTCCGGGCTTTTTTCGCGAGCTCCTGCCCCCCACCCTCGCTGTCCCCCGGTAGATGCCCCCGGTGAGGGTGCGAGGCGGTGGGAAGAAAGTTTAAGGTTTGTTCCTATCAGTCGCAATTGCTGGGGAGGGCGGCGGGGGCGAGGGGAGGGGAGGCGCGGTGGCCTCCCCCTCGCCGCGTTCTCCGGGGTCAGCGGGGAACGGGCTTGCGAGTGACAGCCCGAGTGGACTTTGTGGCCTCGCACCGCGAACCCTGCGCGAGCCGAGGGAAGGGGCACCGCGAGGGGACCTCCTTCCCCTTCCCGGAGACCTGGTCCGCAGTGAATTTTTCCTCCTCTTTTTAAAAGAATCCTCAGCCGCCAACCTCGCCTCCCCAGCTCCACCACAGTGCGCAGGGTTTGCTTTGTTTTTACGATTCTTCCCCCCAACGAATCACTTGTCAGATCAATTTTATCTTCGCCCTCCTCCCTACTTCCCACTCTCCCCTCCTCCCCCTTCGAAAACCCCGTTCTCTGAGGTTAGACATTTTACAAACCATATATGTTGTTTTTCGAATTGTGATTTTTTTTTTTTAACACTCTCCCCCTCCACCCCCCATGGCTACTCTTCTAGGCCTTTATTTCTGCCCTTCCCCCGCTTAGGGGGGCGGGGGTAGGGGAAGAGAAAATAATACAATTTCAGGGGAAGTCGCCTTCAGGTCTGCTGTTTTTTTTTTTTTAATTAAAAAAAAAAAAAAAAAAAAAAGGACAGAAAACATCAGTCTTGAACTTCTCTTCAAGAACCCGGGCTGCAAAGGAAATCTCCTTTGTTTTTGTTATTTATATGCTGTCAAGTTTTGAAGTGGTGAGTTTCAGGTCGGTTTTGCTAATTTCACTCAGTAAAACTGCAGTGTTTCTGTTTCTAGATAGTACTTTGCTTCTTTGTCTCTTTAAAAGGTCACAGTGAAAGCTTGGCCTGGATCGTGCCGGCCATGTGGAATGGATAAGGGCATAATCTCTTAAAATGTGATTATGGGGTTCGGTGGGGGTGAGGGAGGCCATTTAGCAAGGAACTCCCTGAAAGGATTCCACATTGCAAAAACAAGAAACCAAAAAAAATCCAAAAAGGTTCTTGAAACCGGAATGTCGTGCTTTTCTTTTTTCGTGTAAAGGGAAATAATTGCTGTGTCTGAGTTCACTGTGTTAGTCAGTAGCGATCACATATGGACTTAGTTGATGGACTGGGAAATGGGATTTTGAGAAAGTAGCCTGCTTTCTGTGTGCCAACCAAACGTTACACGAAAATGGACTTTAAAATCTCTAACTCACAAGAAACTCTTGAGCCTGGCATCTGTTGAGACCCGAGTTAGTTCCTGGGCTGCCAGTCCAGCAGGCCCAGTGGAGGCTGCTCTGTGCAATCCCAGACGGAGGTTTGGTGAACTTTAGCCTTGGGCATAGAGTTTAAATGAGTAAATTGGGTGTTTTATGTGCATGTAATTTTTCTTTATAATGTAAAGCTTTTTACAAGATGACTGAGTGTTTAATTGACGCTTATGGGTGGGTGTTGGGAGGACAATTGTGCATGACCTATATGATGTTTTGATTATCAATACATTAACTAAATTAGCATCTATCAGTTTCACTTGCTGTTACTTTATAATGCTGCTAAGCCTCAAGACTGCTGAATATGTTTTTTTAGCATTCATTTTCATGCTGATGTTTCCTTTTTTCTTAAAATTGCCCCACGGGTGAAGTATTTTCAAATCATATGTTTTAAAATTCATTTTCTGCTCTAGGGTAAGGCAACCACTTTCAAAAAAAAAAGCAGCTCTGTATTATAATCCACATGTAACATTACAAAGAGTGTTTTGAATAAGTTAATAACCATTGCTCTCTAATTTTGGCTTTAGTTTAATATAATGGAGAAGAGTAATCTTGATAAAAAGTGGTTAAAAGAGGCACATTTATTGTTAATGAACCTCATAACCAAAAACAGATGGGACCTCGATCAATGGTAAACCTTTAGTTCTCAGCGTGCCACCCTGGAGTACAAGGATAAATAGCCATTATTTCTCAAACTTTAGAGTTCTTCAATTGGCATTCTTAAGGTTGCTTTTAAGCCTACAGATTACCATTGCTCCCTCCTCCCCATTCACCTCTTTTCTTGATTAAATTGGACAGAGTAATCTATGGTTAAACAGAAGAAAAACATGCTTCTAGAAAAGCCATGCTAATATAAGCTGGCTTTCAATTAATCGGATCTAAATAGCTTTTCCGGTGTAATAATTTTTTAAAAGTACAAGAGATGTTAAATTACTAGACAGCTGGAGGAAAGTAATAATTATCATATTCTGATTTTTGAAATATGATCCCTTCCCCCCTTAGTATTGGTAAGCTCAGTATTTCAAGTACTATGAAAGTTCATAATTCCACTCACCTGTTCTTATCAATTCTAGTTACAACTATTTTAGAAGTGACTTGGATATTGTACTCATTGTTTTATCATAAACCGTATGAAAATTAATGTCCATTGTGTAATTGAAAATAATTATCTATAAATTTTTTTGAAGTCAACCAAGATGTTAACTTCATTGCATACTGAGATTATTTTTGAAAACTGGCAATTGTGTTTTACCTAAATCAAGATTTATTTTTTTTAAAAGCCAGTTTGGCACTTGGATCTAATGCTAATATCACAAAGTATTTTCACGTTTTTTTGCTACTTAAGTTAAGAGCATTCTATTACTAAAGTACTCCTAAATGTTAACTCTAAACATGTGAGTCGTAATGCTTCAGTACTTGGAATATTTGAAGAAGTCCTCCACCTAACATCCATTTGCTTAGGGGTGAGATAATCCAATCACACATTTGAGCCAAGACTTAACTAGATATTTAACAGGTCACTCTTGAAACTTTCATAGTAGAAAACTTTTTCTACAAATTTACCTGCAAAGCCAATGGGGAGTATAAAAATTAGATGTTTGCTACCTTCTTTTGAGGTGGTATGTATATACATGTATAGGTTTTTTTTTTCTCAAAAATTAAGCTATATGTAAAAATATATATACAACAGATTTAACTAATATTTTGGGCTGTAATTATTTTTCCATTGTTTAAAGTGTTACTGTTTTGTAAAGAGTTTCTAATTTTTAAAAATTGGGACTGTATAAATATAATTTATTTTCTTTCTGGCTCTATTGTGGTGATTCTTGTTTTAGAAGTAAAGCCCATTTCCCCCCACTTACTTTTGGTGGTAGGTCACAAATTACCTTTTATTCACGTGTGTTAATACAGTTTTCACCAATTATTCTGTTAACTTGAATGGACATATGCTGTCATCTAGAAATATAGTAACATATACATTATGTTATATATCTAGCTGAGTAATCTTACAAATTATATTTGTGAAGAGAGATATCTAGGGGTAAAACATTTACATGATGTATGTATGTAAATACAGAGAGAGAGAGAGAGAGAGAAAGAGAGAGAGAGAGAGAGAAACACCCCCACCCACCCAATTCTAACCGCATCTTCTTTTTAAATTCTGGCAGGTGATCTTTAGAGAGTAACTGAGTATGGATCATTTGAACGAGGCAACTCAGGGGAAAGAACATTCAGAAATGTCTAACAATGTGAGCGATACGAAGGGTCCACCAGCCAAGATTGCCCGCCTGGAGCAGAACGGGAGCCCACTGGGAAGAGGAAGGCTTGGGAGTACAGGTGGAAAAATGCAGGGAGTGCCTTTAAAACACTCGGGCCATCTGATGAAAACCAACCTTAGGAAAGGTAAATACTTTCGAGCCAAATCCTGGAAAGCTGTGAGCCCTGTGCCTACCCAAGGCTACTCTGTGTGGGTGTGGAGAGGCAGAGCACTCTTTGTAGGTTCTTTGCCTTGATTCTCTTTCTGCTCTGAAATTAGTTACATCCCTGGCTGCAGTGTCAGTCACGTTTTCAAAGTGGAGGCTCTGTGTTTGAGTGGAGCATCTTACTCTGCTACTACAGACAGGAATTGTTGGACATTTAGGTTGATAAGGACTGAATTCAATATAATGGTCTTTAGCTACCCAAGGCTTCCATGGATAAGGTGTAATGAAAGTAGAGGATATATACATGGCTATTGCTTGTTCTTGCCCTGCTTAAGAATAAGACACTGGCTTTTCCATAAGATTCGCTAGTTGTAAAAGACAGGTTCAGAGGTAATGGAAATCTTGTGTGCTATGATGTAAAAGTTTTGTGATGTCATTTTTGTGGCTTGTTTTCTTAAGAGCAAATGCATTATTTAGCAATGAAAAAACCTGATCATTCTAATTTTTATGTTTGCTATAACTGGGTATTTTTGATAAAAGGAAGGGCAGATTTAGGCATGTTTACAAGGGGAGGATGTGTAACTGACTCCTTTCTACCCATTTCATGTTAAGTTGATGAAGTTGGACAACTTTGTGTTCAACACTTGTTTATGTAAAGCAGTGCCTGTGCTGGTTACAATGTGTGTGCCTCATAATGGTCTTTATTTTGTCTCTGAATAAATGTGTATAGGATTCAGATTTCCCTTACATTTGCTAAGCAAAGGATAAAAATGCCATCTTTTAGCAACCGAGAATATTAAGTAGATAAAGTTAGAAGGCAGAGGAATTTCATTGTGTTTGATGCATAACATTTATCATACAATCATTTATTTTTTCCTTGGTTTGGCGAAAACAAAGAATATATTGATCCTGAAATGAACAGACACAGCAGACCGTATTGTTAGATCTTTATCTATTAAAAATGGAAAAACAGCACTTCAGCAAATTCTTTGGCCTCTACTCATGATTACCCTATTTATTGATTGTTTGCCAAGAATGTATGCATCTTAAGAAAGCCAGGGTAAGAGCATTAAAAATATAATTTATTACGGCTTTTCAAACAGAGTGCATTAATATTGTACTGTGAAGCACTGGGGCTCTATAAAAAAGACTTTCTGACGCCTGCAAACATATAAGTTCCATAAATTCCTAAATAGGAGATTTCAGCTGTCTCTGGTATTATGTGATATTTGCACAGCAAACTTTTAATGCCAGGACAGTTTTAGACAAGGATTCTACAGACTTCACTGCTCCTTATGGCAGACGTGCTGTTTACACAGGCTCATAAACCTTCAGCAAAAGCTTCTAAGACTGCCTCCAGGTTTAAATCATGCGGTATTTTTAGCAGTCGGCTGTGGCCAGTGCACTCCCCCTTTAATGCTGGAAGGTTATGAAGTTGCTGTAGTTGGAAGTCTCGCCAAACACTCGCACAAATAATCAGACAGTTCAGAGAAGGCTCCTGTTCAGCATTACTCCCAATAGCAGGAGGGCAACCGTGACAGTTTGCTGGAAGATTTAGCGGCTAGGTTTGTAATTAAATGATACTGTTGTCACTTTATCAGTAGCCACCTTTCATTACCTACGGGGTCCCGATAAATAAAGCCGAAGATATATATCCAATATATTTCAGTCGTTTGAAAAACCCACAGTGATGTCATAGGTCTAAGGAGAACAGCATGTAGTAGGACAAGTCAGTCTCCTCCTTGGAGAGGAAAAATCAATGCATATGTTTTTGTTGTACTAACCCAACTCTTTGAAGACATCAGGACAGGGGGAGGAGAAACCAAACTACAGTAATTTCACTTCCTGCTCAAAAGATTTTTTTTTCCCTTACAGTATTGCCTTGATAGTGATTTATTTTGTTTAATTGAAGAAGGTTCCTTGCTTATTTCAAACAACAAAAATCACTGAAGCCTTTTAGTGGTGGTGGTGGTGTGTGTTTTTGTGTGTGTGTGTTTAATTTTATTTTTTGTGTCTGGTTTCTGTTTGACAGGTGCTAGATAAAAATTGTGGCTGAGATGTGGCTTAAGAAAAAGGGGTTGGATGTTTTTGTTTATTTGTTGAGGAGATTTTGCCAAAGTACCTCCAAGCCAAGAAAGAAATCACCAGTTTGTATATTGCTGTTTTTGCTGTGGTCTCCCCAAATCTTCTGATCCCTGGCGGATTCTCTCTCTGGTATAAAACAGCCGAATGAATGACAAGAATATTGGCAAGCTTCACGGCTTGTTTTTTTATGCCTCGCCTGTTGGATATCTCCGAATGAGTTTGTGAGCTTTTCTAAGTCAACCTAAAGGTTTTGGTGCTCTTTTTTTTTTTCTTTTTTTCTTTTTCAGAGCTAGAATCCCTTGTGAACAGTTCACTGAGGCTTTGGTGAAGAGGCATGTGTAGAAAAATGTAGCTGTTTTACTGCCAGCTTTTGTTTGCAGAATACAGCACTTTTAAAGGGCATCTCCGGTGTCAGTAGAAAATCCCGATTTTTTAGCTCTGGTTGGCATGCGCTGGACATCTTCAGAAGTTGGTAGGATTCTGCGAGTCCAGAGGGCAGAGCTTAAAGAGGCATTAATGTTACAGGACTAATTGAGGATCCTGGGTGCCCTGTTAAAGTAACCCTTGCCATCATTTATGGTAAAGATGATACCCTCCTGGCAGTTTGCCACAGTGCAGTTCAGATGCATCTGCTTTTAACCCTTTTCTGCTTATCCCTGGGAGTCTGACAGTGCGCTCGCTGCGTGAACACCTTGAGTGCTACAGCGTTCCCTGATTTCCGTTTCCAGAAGCCTTTTTTCTAACCCCGGTGTGGCCTGTGCCGATTCATCATCTGGCTACTGAGTTATTACATTGGATTAAAGTAAATAGAGAGAGAACATCGAATCTACGCAGATTCCTTGATCCTAATATGTCCTGATATGAGGCCAGTTTCCTTTTCCCGCTCTCATTTTCATCCCATTTACTACAACAAGACTGTTCATGTTACAGACATATGGTTACTGTGATATCTTTTTAGTCAGGTAGATTAAATGAGGAGCCATCAAAATAAAAATCTTATTTACCTACATTATGCACATATTGAAATCCTATATTTTGAGCATCAGTTTGGTTAAGTTTTGCGTTCCTTTTATGGAAGCATTATAAAGTAAAATCTCTAAAAAGGAAGTAAAAGGCTAATCATTTTATGGCCAAAGGTAATTTGTTTGGGCACAAACAAGGGATAGTTTAATATTAACAAAAGCCTGTAGGCCACGTGAAGTTGGTTCTTGTGAAGACAACTGGAGTGAGTCAGGTTTGCACACTGTCTACATTACCACTCACAACAGATCAGACAAGACACCTACTTCTCTCTCGTCAGCAGTATCATTTGATCAGAAAGGTAATTCTGCATTCACTCATCTTGATGGAAGCAGAGCCCCACTTACCCTCGGAGCAGGTTCACATTCTGTTTCCATATTTCTCTCTCAACTCTGAAACAGAGAAAAGGTTGTATATGTTGGTGTGTGCGTGCCTGTGTGTTTCTGTGCCCTGTCTGCCTGGGAAACAGTCTCTTCCCTTCTCTCACTGTTGTGAAGATTTATTTTCATGGCTTCGTGTGTTTTTTCCCTCCCCCAGACTGTATTTCTGAAGATTGTTGGTTTGCATCTCTTCCTCCCTGTCTCTTCGATAGGAACCATGCTACCGGTGTTTTGCGTGGTGGAACATTATGAAAACGCCATTGAATACGATTGCAAGGAGGAGCATGCGGAATTTGTGTTGGTGAGAAAGGACATGCTTTTCAACCAGCTGATAGAAATGGCACTGCTGTCTCTGGGTTACTCGCACAGCTCTGCTGCCCAGGCCAAAGGTAAATGACGCACGTGCGGGGCTGGGGAAATTGCTTGGCATCCTTTGTTTACCTCCCAGGGAAAGCACTGAATATTTTTTTTTTATTCAAAGAACTGTAGGCTGTGTATGATGACACTGGTTCCTTATAGACTGTGGCTTTAAAAAATTGGCTTAATTCAGTTTGGTTTAGTTAACACACATTTTGCTCATGTGGAATGTCGAGGTAGATTTTTTTTTTTAAATTACTTCAGCTGAATCATTAGTATGCTTATTGACCTTAATAATCTGCTCCACTGAGGACCCACAAGGAAGTGAGGAGCGTATTTGAGCAGATGGACTGTTGAGAGTCAATTTGCATTTATGACTGAATATCTAGTTCTGTTTCTTTTATTCTGTTTCTGATGGTTTTATGGGCTGTAAAGTATTTTTCAATGCTGATTCCCTTTGCAATAGAGAATCTTATCTGAATCGTAAAGCCATTTAGAACTGGTTCAGCTATGTCTTATTAGAACTTCCTGTAAGTTAGGAAAATGTGGCCTGGGCATCGGTTTTATTGATGGGGTTTGATTTCCAAAATAATAAAACAACCCTACAGTCATTTACATAATTTCACAATTTGGAAAGCTGAGCTATGAATATTTTCACTGACCTGCCTTTTAGAGGGAAGGGAATCATTCAGACAGAAATAACAATATTGCTTGTGGTGGGGGCCATCAAAGAAAGAAAAAAACTACCAGATGTATTATCTGAAGGGTAAAACCTGTAGTGACATATTCTCTTTATCTGGAATAGGGCTAATCCAGGTTGGAAAGTGGAATCCAGTTCCACTGTCTTATGTGACAGATGCCCCTGATGCTACGGTAGCGGATATGCTTCAAGATGTGTATCATGTGGTCACGTTGAAAATTCAGTTACACAGGTGAGTCAGGACAGCGTTCTAGGGGAAAACATTCTAGTTACCTGATATTTTTAACTAAAGCATCTCTGGTCAACCTTTTTATTTCCTCTGTGTTTCAGACGGGTTAATTAAAATTGATTTTGTTACCTTACCCTTTCTGCTTTATTTTCCTAACTTCAGTGTAGAATTTAAAAGCAACCCCCCACCCCCACCCCCCAAATTTGTAGGTTTGTGCAGGTTATCAAAATACGAGACTTTATATTGAGTCAATGAAATGATGCATTACAAGAAGGCATTTTACATAAAGTTTACTTAAGAGAAAAATATTTTTGCATATCATGAACAGTGCCATCTGTGTACATTTTGTGAAAGAATGCCTTGTTCGCTCTTGCCGCGGCCTTGCTTATTTATATAGTTTTTTACCATTTTAATTCGTATGAACGGAGTCACGAAAGGAAAATGGTTAATACATTCATGCTTCTCCCTGCTTGCTCGTGAGAAAGCAGTACACCTTAAATTGTCTTCCCAAGCGCATCAGAGCAGGAAGGTAGAAGTAACATGAAAAAATAGCCACCACAGGCAGCTGATGTATAATTCATGCATCGATACAGCAGATGTGTTGTATAAAGTAATTAACTAATCGGAACAATCAGGAGACCGAGAGCAATCTCCAGATGCATCTGTTTGATGCGCAAAATGAAATCTGTCTGTCTTAAAGGAATGTTTTGCAGCGGGATGCAATCTTGTAATAATCCCCTTTCTAATCTCTGTCTCACATAGTTGCCCCAAACTCGAAGACTTGCCTCCTGAACAATGGTCGCACACCACAGTGAGGAATGCTCTGAAGGACCTCCTGAAAGATATGAATCAGAGTTCGCTGGCCAAGGAGTGCCCCCTTTCACAGGTACTGAGCAGAGCGTGGAATAAATAATAAGACATCCCGGGCAGCCCTGATGTGAGGTTCCATGGGGCTCCGTAGTCTTAAGCAACCGGTATCGGGACATGCAAAGTGGCTTGACCACTGGTGACTTTTAAAAATATGCCTGATTCATTCTGAACAGAGCCTTTACACTTTTTCTCCCTTGGGAAAAGAGCAAAGGAAAAACAGCTCAGCAGACTCTGCTGGCTTGCTTTCCCATTCCTCTTCTGAGCATGGAAGCTCCATTCTCCCCAGTGCTCTGATGTAGGGAAGAGTAAAGGCAGTAACACTTCCAGGAGCCTGCAGTGAATGGCTTTGTAAGTGTTAACGTGGAAAACTTCGTCATGCTGCCTGAATTAAATAAGAGTTCAGTTGTCTAATACTTAGCTCATTATAAAAATAAAAAACTACAAAGAGCATTTGTAGTAATAATTATAAAAGTAAGAATAGAAATCTCCTGTAACTAAAGGTTGAGTAGTTATTGTTCTTTAGGAGTTTCTCACTAATTTGGGGGCATTGTTTTACCTTTTTTCCCCCCTCTGAGATGCCTGTCATACCACCAGGAATTTTTGGAATAAGACAAAGATCTATTTTTATTGTGCTTGATTTTTTTAGAATGAATTTTGATGGAGAGTTACTAAAACTGTAGAGAGAGAGACCGCCCCTGTTTCCAAATGTGAAAACCAAACATCGTGTTGGATAGTGCTCAGCTAATTTCACATTTGAAAAAAAAAAAAAGCAAAGGTGCTATGAACCTGCTTTTCATGGGCTGCCTATGCGGTCACTACATAAATGTGGTATAAAGCCAGCCTTCAGTGTCCAAATGCAGCGCTAGGTCATTCTGTGACATAGTATAATTAAAGTGCTGATAGAACTAGATGTTTAAGGTTTTCTTTTAGTTCAAGTTTAAAATGTAATTCTGAATGTCAGTCTGTCAGTCATGTGAACTTGAACTGTACGACTCTGCTACAAACATTTCTGCAGTTGAGGGAGTCTTAAAATGTGTTTCTAATGTGATGCTCATGAAGATACAGGGCACCTTTGGAAGGAAGCTTGTGGGCTTCTGTGCTACCTTTTCATGGAACCTCCATGCATTGCAGGTTTGCTGCAATATAGCCCATCAGTATTCCTTTGATATTTATTAGCAGTTATAGGAGCAAAGCAAATGAATTAAGTTGATAGTTAATGATGACTTGCTATGTTCTTTTAAGGTGAGCTCTAGCCACAGGTAAAATATTATCTGTGTTGTTAAATGTTAGTTTCTTGTAATTCAGAGCAACTCAAGCTCATTTCCTTCTGTCCTTCCTCTTTCACCCGTGGAGTAGAAAGGATGTGACTTTATACACCTCCAAAATAATTTAAATTAATGAAACACGGAAATCTATAGGATGATAGAATGAAGCAGGTGACTCTTAACCTCTGGGACTTCGGGTTTTGCAGACAACTCCAGATAACATGCCACTTGGTTACTAGCATTTGAAAATTGGAAATATCCTCGAAATAAACTTTTTTTTTTAAATTCAGAGGTAATACATGTAGCAACACCCAGAATAGGAACCTCAAGTATCTTCATGTTACTAAGTGTCCCATTGATTTTGGAAGTAAATTCAGGCAAAGATTTAACACATGTATTGTGAACTGGAGGAGGAGGATGCAAGTACAGTATTTATCAATATAGGCAGTGAGAACTCATTATTAAATGACATCAACATTCGGCCAGTAAATTCCACCTCACTGTAGCTTATAAATATAATTGTGAATTTACTTAATGTTATCATGGGGAATGAATTGAATACAGACAGTTATAACATTAAACTGAATGACAAAATGAAATTCGGGACTTGGTTTTGGAGTCATATATTGGTGAATTCCTATAGAGAGGCCTTTAGAAGATCATGCGCGCGTGTGTGTGTGTGTGTGTGTGTGTGTGTGTGTGTGTGGAGACTTTGCAGTAATCATTCAGTGGTGAAACTAGGCTGCATCTTCAACATCAGTTGTAATTACAGTCATCTTTTCTTTAAAGAAATCTTTTGAAAAAATGCATAGTTGAGCAGTGGCAGCAAATATTTGAAATTAATTTAATATTTAATACTATGAAGAAAGTGCAGTCTGTTGTCTAAATGAGGGACTTATTTTATATTCTGTTACATCATCTTCTATCCTTTCTGTAAAATAAACTCCATGAATCTGATACTCAATTCAGAATGTTTTAATAATGAACTATTTTCCATTTTTCTTTTATTTTATTTGCTGTCATAAGTTATTAAAGACGAGAAATTCAGGCTCTCTAAGGACTAAGCCAAAAATATATGCTGAGTTTGGCAAAAATGACTCTTTCTCCTGAGGCTAAGATTTGGTGATGAAGATGCTATGGTAAAAAAAAAAAATGCCTAGCAAATAAATATTGTCTCAGTCTTGTATAAAACGGGACCCAACACCAAGAAATCCTGTATTAAGACCTTTTGACCCCCTGTGGAGATTTTATTCATTCACTTAAGAACTTTCAGCATACAATTCAAGTGTTCACATTTTGCTGTACAGTAAGAGTTGTTTTGTTTAATATGATAAAATAACCTTGTAGCCACTTAGGGCTACAGGATCCCCTAATACTATGTTTAGCAGATGTCTACCCTGTGGGCAATAGACTCACTTTATAGAGTAGAGGCCAGGAAGGAATGGGAAGGGGAGCCAGCAGGAATTTGCCTCCTGGTGTCTGATAAGCCCTGCCTCCGATTCTCTTAGGAGGATTGTCTCAATCTTGCTAAAGCAGAAGTCCATTTGGGACTTGGAATCATAGAACTAGGACGTGTTACTTTCCCAGACTTCTCCTTGGACAGATAGAGGAGCCACTGTCCCCAGAGATTAAAGTCAAAATGCTGGTTACTGACTGACCCAAAAGTCCTTTCCCAATGATACATTTTAAAGTAAGTGCTGATTTTAAAATGCATACTTAACATTTTGGTGCAGTAATATTTTCTTTGATAATATTTGCAAAGTTTTCTCCAGCTGCAGAGATTCCATAAGTGTGCATGTGGTTTCATTTATAACTCATAGCTTTCTTTATTTGCAGTACTGCTTTCCTATCATAAATCTGCCCCAATAGATTGACACCCCTGTATTAAGTTTTGGTCCCAAATGTTTGTTTATTTTTGTAAAATGTTCTAAGACATAAGAAATGCCTCGCTTGTTACAGATCTGAGGTTGGGCGTTGTATCGTTACTCTTGCTTTTTTTTCAGTGGGATATGGTTAGATAAGTTGGATGTTGTATTCTGAACTCCACGTAATGCAGAGAATGAAGTCTGACTCGGGGACCAGAAAGCCTGTGGTCATGAGAACTTTGAGAGTGTAGATTCGGGAGTTGAAAGAATAAACATTTTGCCTTTCATTTTGATTTTAGTTTTCCCTTAAGTTTTAGAAATGGAACTTTTAAATACTGGAGATTATATATATATTCAATACAAGGATAGATTCATTTTGTTGAATGTATCATAAGTAAACATCAGTTATTACTTCTACCAGCCTAATGCCTTCCTTCTGAAAATGTTTAGGTCAGATAATCCTGAGAGATTCTCATGTGATAGGTGCATTATTACCACCCATCCACACCCCACACCGGGGTGCGCGCGCGCGCACACACACGTCACCGCCTTCACATTCACACACACACACACACACACACACACACACACGTCACCGCCTTCACATTTGAAGGCACTGCGTTATTTTCTATTTCTCACCTGGGGAAAAGTAGCTCCAAGCCCAGGTCCTACATAAACTAAGTAGGAGTTGACATTTTTATTTTCAAGTAGCAAAGGCTATAGAAAATGAATTCAAATGTGAACATTCCATTTAGAAGTAATATTGAGAAAAAGGATTTTGGGGTTTTCATTTTCCTGCCAGCATCAGGGTCTAATATGTGTTAGATTTTTCAAATTATGTATTGGCAAAACAGATTTTTTTTAAAAAAAGGAAACTGTGCTGCCCTCCTGGAGCTTAGCATTTAAAATTTAACTCTGCTGATTCCCTGGAACTTAGACATTTAATAAACCTGTGTTCAGTTTATTTTCATTCTGTGTTATAAATAACACTGGAGCAACAATTTTAAAAGCCCTGTTTGTTACATATTTTTAACTGCACTTTGTAATTTTTTTCATAACTTTTGCACTGAAGTGACATTTTAAAAGATTTTTTGGGAAACACTGATAATCACATTCTCTCAAAGGAACAGGCAGCATCAGTATTCATATATTGTATTTCATGTGAGAGCCTAACCTATGACATTCATTCACATATTTACATATTTATACACTCAGAAATATGTATCGACAGTCTGCTGTATGACAGCAGACTCCTATTTCCAGTGAAATAATAAGGATGACACACCTTAATAGTTGAAGTAATAATAGTTAATTTTGATTTAGTGCTTTAGTATCAAGAGCACTTCTATCACCCTGTTTTATATTCTGCCATTTTCAGTTCGGGAACCTGAGGCATATAATGTTTAAATAAATGCCCATGGTTACATTGCTAGGTGAGGGGCAAGAATTCATACCTGGAGCTTGTGAGCTTAACCAGGATTCCTTCTTGCTCACATATATAGTAAAGGACTATTTTTTAAAAGGCGTTCTCAAATTATTTTGATGTTTTTATAAGATATTTAGATTTCTAGGAAGTATTGATAACTACTTACAGTTTTCCAGTTGTCTTTATTCTCACTATTGAAATTTTTCTTTAACATGTGTTTTTAGATCTTTGATTTTGTTGTTTGTATAATAACTTGCTTTTTAAAAGAACCATCATCTCGTACCCCTAATTTTGAGCATGAGAGGGTGATTCAGCCCACAGGGGCTGACTTCTGGAATGATGTGGTATATTGAGGTTCCAGAAGATTTGAATGTCACAGCTCTGTGGCAGTCACTTCTCCCCCGCATCCTAACATCCATCTTGATCAGTAGGTATAATGGAGCGAATAGCCCTTTGTTTT